CAGGTCTGTGAGTCAGTGTTTTGGCTTGGGTATCCGAAGACCAATCCTTTTATATGCTAGATGGATTCATATTCTCAGCTTTTCTCTTGGAATCACTGTATTCATTGCCTACTGCTTTATAATAGTAGACCATAAAAAATATATGAACAATCCAAGTGGCACAAGATAGGATTTCCAAAATTACAACGACTTTCCTTCCTGTTGTCTCACAGTTCCTGGTGAGCCTCCAAAGATGAGAACAACAGGTGTTAAGTGCTCACACATAGGCGCCAGGACACCAATGTGGTTCCAAACTGGTTCTGTAATCTGAAACCCATTCCCGACTGTCATCCTCCCTTTGCATGTAAGAGAATTTAAGAGTGTGACAAGAATGAAAAGGATTGAAGAGGATTTTTGGAAGGGAGTTGCACGTGAACTGTGTGTTTTCCCGTTGCATCTTTCTTTTTTTTTTTAATTTTTATTTATTTATGATAGTCACAGAGAGAGAGAGAGAGAGAGACAGAGGCAGAGACACAGGCAGAGGGAGAAGCAGGCTCCATGCACCGGGAGCCCGACGTGGGATTCGATCCCGGGTCTCCAGGATCGTGCCCTGGGCCAAAGGCAGGCGCTAAACCGCTGCGCCACCCAAGGATCCCTCGTTGCATCTTTCAAGATGAATGTTCTGAGCTTAGAATATTTCAGAGAAATTGAACATATACCCTAGAGTTCAGGGGATAACAAGGATTGTTAACTGAATCTTCCTTAAAAGTGGCTGAAGCTGTCTTCATAACACAGTGAAAAGGTAGGAACAACAAGAACCAGTACTCTTCCATCCATCAAGGTAGCTGACCTTGAGTTATCCTGAAAGGACCATGTCCTGTGTATTTAGGTATACCGATCTGTTAGCAGAAAGATGCTACAGAAATGATATCACCAAAATCAGGAGAACAGAACTCACTAAAGCACCTACCAGAAATAAGGCCAGCATTAGGGCCTCTGCCACATGAAGGACTCTACCTGTGGATTACAATAACACCTGTCACATAAGCTTTCATTCTTCAAAAGCTCCCCTTATCCCTATGCCTGACTTGGAGGGGTCAGAAATAGCAATTATAAATAGGGAAGAAAGTGGAGGGTGGGAAAAATGAAGTTTTGATATTATACTTTATCTGGGGTTAAAATCTGAAAATGAGACTGTTCATTAATCTGTGAAAGTGAACAGAAAACAATGGGATATTCCCAAAACATTGTCCAGGGGTGGAAAAGAAAGAGCAGATACATGAGGTTTAAAAACGGCAGCAGAATATGTAAGTACTTTCCAAATCCTACCAATTCAGCTCATTTAACAAACTGCTTAGCCTGCTGTTATCCTTAATTGAGCACTTATTAAGTGCCAGAATCTTTTATTTTTTAATACTTATAATAAACATATGAGACAGGCTAGTTCTCACAGTCTCCTGCTAATTTAGGAATAATATTCTTTTGGAGTTTATTAAAAAGAAATTTTAAAGGGATTTCATAAAGAAAAAAAGAAAATATAAAGATGAGCTCCATTGATGAGAAGCCAGCACAACAATGTTTTCAAATGCTTGGATAACAGGTAATCCTTTCCCTAAGATAATTCCAAACCCGATCCTCCCAAGTGGGTCCTTAAATAAAAAATTTCTTCTCTGAGAGGCAAAGCCTCCAGTTCACCTCTTATCTGGACAAAGTACTTATGAATTGAGGTGGATTTACACACAAATGATGATGATTAAGCTCTGTATTTCTCTTTCTTCCTGTCGAAGGCTGGGAGTGGAGCAGCAATGTATTCACATGGGCATATGTTTTTGTAAAATTTGCAGAAGTAAGTGATTTAATCCTAATTGAGACCCCTGTCTTTTTCTACTTGGACTTCCCTCCTGTCACATTTCTTCTTGTGCTGGGTGGTATTGAATAGGCTCTAGGCATGTAGGGATCTGATTGGGGGAAGTTGAGTTGTAATACAATTAATTTGGGTTTAGTGGGATATATTTATGTGGTTCATAGTTAAGGGATTGCTAACTCACTTTCTCTCGTAACTCTTCATGTAGTAGAGTTTTCAGGAATGTTCCTACTCCCTATATTGTACTGACTCTTTGGGCACCAAGACAAGAAGGTGTAGGATCAGAGGTCGAGTCACAATAATGATGTGACAAATGTGTCCTATGGCTCCTAACATGAGACACTGGAAGACAAAAAGGGTTTGAAATGTGTGGATCCAGGTACCAATTGGAAAATTATTCCAAGTGCAGCAATTTTCCACCAAGTGGAAAATTATTCTAGTCATCAAACCTGTAATATCATAAGCCCAAGATTTGGCTTCTATCAATAGCTAGTCAAACAGAAGTTCTCTCCTGTTATGAATACGGCATATGCAATTATAAATATAACATGTATTTCCCCCCATTTTTGATGGGAACTGTACAAAGTAGAATTTACCAGAATGCTGTGTTTTTAGGCATAAACCTAGCAGTACAACCAACAGTAAGTACATCAATAGGTGAAATACATGTTTTATGTATATACGATTGTGAGTCTTTCCCTGGCTTCCTATTCTATTTCATGTGTCCTTTCAAATCACCTTATATTCCCTTGGTGAAGCTGTCATGCTAAGGCTGATGCCAAAACAGAGCTTAAGGCCATCAGACTGAGGTGTCTCAGAACAAACATTACTTCATACATTGTGCTACCAGAGTTTGTCTCTTTAATCTGTCATTAGCATGATGTTTGTTTGTTTTTTCTAAAAATTATCTACTAAGATGGACCATTGATAAAGTAACCCATTCACACTTTTGGAAAAAGTAATGCTTCTATAAATTGATGGGGTATAATGTCTTATTTCAGTTAATCTTAAAAAATCCTGATTAGAAAAACAATTTAGTTGTATAATTTAAACTAAATCATGAAGCCCCCAGGAGTTTTTCATGTCCTCCCTGTCTCCACACACAGCTCAAGCAGGATGAGAAGATAGCCTGTTTCTCAATGGAACCCAGACTTTTACTGCCATACTAGATGGGTCCAGTTGCCAGCTCTATGTTCATATAGTCAAGTGCTGCCTCTCATTATTCTTCCTGGGACCAAACTTAACTGAATTACTTAGAAATAGTTTTTTAAATGTTTCCCTGTTTATGTTCAAATGAGGACTCAGTTTGGTAGTATATCTGATAACATCACAAATGCTATGAATATACATCATATGGTGATAGAAGAACTCTCTGTTTAAAGAACCAGAGGAGGTCATCTTTTTAAAAAAAAAAAAAAAAGATTTTACTTATTTATTTGAGAGACAGAACATGATGGGGGGCTCAATGGCAGGATTCCAGAATCACAACCTGAGCCGAAGGCAGATGCTCAACCACTGATCATTGAGCCACCCAGGTGCCCCTAGAGGAGGTCATCTTGTAGATATTTCCCTGCTCTTCTGTATTTTACTAATATTTAGGTAATATATTTAGTGACATTTGTGTTAGGCTAGATTCAAGGATGATTTAGGGTATGATAGATCAAATACATAGGCATGTAACCTCTGACTAAAGTCAAAATACTAGGCACTACCAGGAATTTTTCCTCTCCTAAAAGTCCTCTACTCTTACACTCCTAACATAAATATCAAAGTATTACATACCCAGCAACTCTTTGAAGTCCCCTTTCTTTCTTTTTTTTTAATTTTTATTTATTTATGATAGTCACACAGAGAGAAAGAGAGAGAGAGCCAGAGACACAGGCAGAGGGAGAAGCAGGCTCCATGCACCAGGAGCCTGACGTGGGACTCGATCCCCGGTCTCCAGGATCATACCCTGCTCCAAAGGCAGGCGCTAAACCACTGCGCCAGATGTTGGACATCTGAAAGTCCAACAAAGTTGGATGGAAAAAGGACATCTGAAGTCCTTTTTCAAAGGAGGTTATCTCCTAGCTCTCCTAAACAAAATGCACACAATGTATCGAGAAGTCTAAGCATAGTCTGTTTTTTGCTATGGTCATGCATTTATCTATGGACTGATAGATACAGGAAATATAAATATGGTCTTAATAAGCCTTTTGCTTATTCTAGTTGGCCAACAAATAGGGTAATATTAGTGTTAGGTGTAAAATTTTAGTGATTCATCACTTACATATAACACCCAGTGCTCATCACAAATGCCCTCCTTAATACCCATCACCATAAATCATTTTCTTAAGCAAAGGAAGAAGCCTAAATCAGAGTTAAGTTATATTAACACTGAGAGTGGACGATTAAAGCAGTGCAGGAGTCAACTGGTCCCTGCTGGCCCATATCATTAAGTTGCATGCTTACCATGGGTTGGGTTTATGATACATAAATTATCTCAATAAAATTAAAAAAAAACCTGCTGTCATTTATTGAATACCATAACAGGAATTTATACTAAGATTTAAATAAAACTGCCCTCAGTGATAGGCTTTGTAAAATTTTTAAAAGGAGTTAACTGATAGAAAAATGTTTAGCGTATGTGTTACAAATAATGATAAAAATCACAGGGCTCTTTATTGTAAATTCCATACACCCACACTTCAGTGTGACTTGCTACTTCTTGCAAAATCCACTATCAGTTTTTATAATTATTTCACCACAGCAGTGTCATGAATTCAAACTATAAATAAATGCTTGATTTTTATCCAATACAGCAAAGAAGTTGTTCACATTACTGACAGAGTGTAGTTCTGAGATGAATGTTGGCTGATATTTTTGCTTATATGAGTAAGACAAAAGTGAAACAATGATGATGTGTTCCAGAACTTACTCTTCAGTGATGTAATAAGCAACTTCTTTGCTGAAAACATGATAGTTTCTAAATACTGAAAGAATATTTCCTTAATTTTGGGAGGCTACTGACAATGTGACAGCCACAGACATCAAACATTTTTAAGTTTAATCTTCATTAACATTCTTACTATCACTTTAAGTCTGAAGACAATCGACAAGGAGTTAAGTTCTGCTTTGTGCATCATTTGACAGTTTCTATAGTACCAAATACTCTTACCATAGGTAGTTTCAAGCAACCAATGTGACATCCCTGAATGCAGAGTTGGGACGAGATGCACAGTATCGCATCACTAGATTTGGGATCCCGGGGCGGCTCAGCCGTTGAGCGTCTGCCTTCCGCTCAGGGCTCAGGGCGTGATCCCGGAGTTCCGCAATCCAGTCCCACATTTCCCTGCAGGGAGCCTTCTTCTCCCTCTGCCTGTGTCTCTGCCTCTCTGTCTCTCATGAACAAATAAAATCTTAAAAAAAAAAAAGAAGAAGAAAGTGATGAGTTTTGAGATTTTAAGCTTTTAAAAATAATTTGTTTATGTAATTTAATTTTTAATAATGACAGTGTCTAACTTCCGGCTCATTAAATTCCTGATGTTTTAACAACTGGTTCTCATCGATTTGGTCTAGCACACCGCTGCCTGACCCTTTCACCACGGAGAAAGCCAAAGCTCAGAGGCCGGCACTAACTAGACCTGGTCACACAGGGCAGTGCCCCCCAGGTCTGTCTAATTCCACACTTTCTTCTACCCGCCGTACCTCTCTTGGAAATGCAGCTGCTGATCTACTCACACATCAACATCTAAACGCCTTAATGTGAGCGCACTTATTTGTTGGAGAGTCATTGCTTTCCTTGGCAAAAGGTGGAATGCAAAACCCAACGAGGCAAGGAGGAAGGAATAAATGGAAAGAGCACAACCCCTTGACAGTTTCGTTCAAGACCTGTCAGGATCATTTCCCCCCATGAGATTTGGCTGATTTAAGATTTAGCAACCAGCAAGTGGGCAACAACTGGCAAAAATGACAGATCATTTATTGTTTTCTTTTTTTTTTTTTAACATTTGTCATTCACGGTTGCTTTTCACGCATTTTCACTGCTATGAATGAAAACGACCTACCCTAGCAGTCATAGCAAATGACAATAAATGTTAAGAGAAAAAACAAATTTATCAGGAACAAATCATGTCAGATCTCAACACAATTTGAACTCGGGCCCCAAGTGTCCTTCTCCACTCTGCCACGTTCAAACAGGCCGCCTCTGCCGCCCTTGACTGATACCCGGTGGCCGCGGGCTGGGACACCCCCACACCCCAGCTTCGCATCCCCCATTCCAGGCAGCGTGGGACAAACGATGGTCAGTAGCGTCCGAACGCCACGAGACACAAACTCGCTCAGGAACAAACTTTACACCGTGGAGTTCCAGCTCACAAGTGTTTTTGAAACTTTTTAAACACAATAGGTTGCAGCAAAAAAAGCGCCGTCTTACCGGGCGCCCAGGAGCTTCACGTTCACACACAGCGGGCGCGGCCGCTGCGGCGCCGACCAACCCGCCGCAGCCGCACGGCCAGCGCCGCGCTTGCGCAGTCAGTTCCTGCGCGGGGGACTGAGCCCCGCCCGTCAGGGACGCCGCGTTCCCAGAAAGGCCCCTGGCGTAGGAACGCTCCCGCGCAGGCGCAGGCGCAGTCGGGGCTGCCTGGCGGAGCCGACCCGTTTCCCGCCGGCTTGCGCGGAGTCTGGTGTGCGCAGAGCCGTGGGGCCCTGCGGGTGCTGAAGGGCCGGGGTCGTGGACCCCGCAAGGTGTCAGCAGCACGGAGGTGCAGGGTGTCGTCGAGGGTGCGGGGCCGGGCGCAGCCGGCGGCGCGCTCCGCCCCGGGGCCCCCGCCCCCGCCCCTGCTCTGGCCCAGGCCCTGGCTCCGGCCCCTGTCCCGGCCCCGGCCTCGCAGTTCGCCCTCCTGGTGATGCGCCCCTGCGGCGGGCAGGACGACTCTGCGGCCGAGGGCGTCCCGAGGCAGGCTCCGGCCCTGGGGGACGGCGCCGGGGCGGGCAAGCCCATTCGGTACCTGTGCGAAGTGGCGGCGGCCGGCGAGGAGGAGGCGGGGGACGACGAGGCCGACCTGCTGGACGCTTCTGACGCCCCGGGGGGAGGCGAGAGCACGGCTAGTTTGGAGGACCTGGAGGACGAGGAGACCCACTCCGGGGGCGAGGGTGGCAGCGGGGGAGCCCGGCGACGGGGCGGCGGCGGGGGCAGCACGAGCAAGACCTGCACCTTCGAGGGTTGCAGCGAGACCACGAGCCAGGTGGCCAAGCAGCGCAAGCCTTGGATGTGCAAGAAACACCGCAACAAGATGTACAAGGACAAGTACAAAAAGAAGAAAAGTGACCAGGCCCTGAACTGCAGTGGGGCCGCCCAGGCCGGCAGCGCAGGAAACGTCAGACTGGAGGTATCAGCCCTTAGCCGGGGCCTTGCGCTTGGGGGACTGGGAGGTGGTTAGAAGAAACTCCAGTCTTAACCGCCGCCCCAGATGGGCCGGGTTGCTGTAGCTGGACTTGAGGCTGAGAGTGAGTGAGTACTTGTCCTAAATTAAAGTTTATACAGACATGTGCAAAAGCCTTAGCAGTTCTGTTGCATCCTTGTGATAGATGAATAGATGTCAGCGGGAATGATGTGACACATCAGCAGCTCCGGCATTTCAAACATCTGGGATATGGGCTGGAAGGACAGTAAGTGATTGATCTGGTTCATCCTTAAAGGAGCAAAGAGACTTAGGAACCTCGATGAAATCGTACTTTGGAGAAGGTGATCTTTTCCTGATTTCATTACCCTATTCACAGCATCCTGTTGTCAGTATCCCTATTCTTAAGCAAGCTGTTCTTAGTACCCCTGTGCTTGGTATTCTGTTCTTAGTGTCCTGTTCTCAGTTAATCTTCTTTGTACTGTGTCCTCAGTAATTCTGGTCTCGGTAACCTTATACTTAATAGACTTGTTCTCAGTACTCCCATGCTTAGTACCCTGTACTTTATACCTTGTTCTCAGTATCCTTGTTCTTAGTACCCTATTTTCACCTTTTTTTAAAGGTAATAATTACAGAATTTTTATTTCTTTTAAGTTTTTTTTAAGATTTTATTTATTCTCGAGAGACAGAGAGAGAGAGAGAGAAAGGCAGAGAGAGAAAAACAGCCTCCATGCAGGGAGCACAATGTGGGATTCGATTCCGGGACTCCAGGATCAGGCCCTGAACTAAAGGCAGACACTCAACCACTGAGCCACCCAGGTCGTCTGTCCCTTACTAGATCTTTTCTTAGTGCTCTTAGAAAAGAAAATGGAATAATAATAATGAGGTGTAAATCTCAGGAAGATTTTTGGAGTGTTTGATTTGAACTGTGTTGAAGGTTAAAGCCAATGCTTTACAAAGCATTGCTTTTTTTTTTTACATGCATTTATTTTATTCTATTCACATTGTACAATTATTATACAACCTACAAAAAGTACAAAAACCTAATCCATTTTCCAATGCCAAGTCAGAGCAAAGTTGCAAGGAGAATTTGGGTGTCCTGTACAATTCATACTGCCTGTCACATGATGTATTTAAAGCTGTAAGTATTGCCACAGGAGAATCTCTTGTCTTTGCAGCGACCGCACAGATCCTGTCGATGAGGCCTCCTTAGATCAATATGTCTTTTCTTTTGAGGACAGGAACAAGACTTTGAACAGGTCTGACATTGGATTGCTTCTACTCGATAAGGGTTAAAACTCTTTTGGCATTTGCAACATGGTTGTTTGAAATAGACCTTATTAGTTCCAGAAATCTCCATTCTATCATTTGCTGGTTGTGTGGCCTTGAACAGGCTATTAAACTCTTAAGCTCAGCTTCATCTGTAAAATGGGTATTAAAATGGTATGTGGTTCATAACATTGCATCGGATATTTCACATTGAGGGTTCACACAGTATCTAGCAGAAAGTAAAAGTCAGTAAACCTTAGCCACTATTATTGTCATTATTAGTGGTATACTTAGAAGTTATAGATAAGCAGGTATTTCATCCTGTGTGCTTTCCTCCTTTTAATAAAAGCTATAGTTCCTCAGTACATTTTCATTAAAATATTTAATTTTGTTAAAAATGATCCAGAAATTTTTTTAAACTGATAGCTATCCTACGATGTATTTTCAAACTCTTTAAGTTTCTTAGTTTTTGCTAGACTTGAACAGCTGCCACATTGCAAAATTTTAGACTTTGGAATAGTTTATAAATGTGATGTTCTAAATATTTTTAAAATCTATAGCCATCAGTATGTCACAGTTCCCACTGATTAGAGTCCGAGTGACATCTCTTTCATTTTCATCCCATTGAGTCTTAATCTGTTTAGGGTAAAATGACTTATTTGAGAATCTGATGAAACCTAATGGACCCTTTTCCCAGAAAAATACACATAGGTAGGCATTTAATTTTGCATACACATTATAGAGTTCAGGACCCCTGTGGATCTTAGGTTTAAAACCTGTATCCACATCCTTGTAAAATATATTTTAGTAAATCTTGGATTACACATAATTATGGAAATAAGCATTTCACTTACTACAGACTTAAACTTAGTAAAGGCCATTGTTTGCCCTCTACACATTCCAAATTCACTTCAGAATTCTTCACAGAGAGAAAAGATAATGCACTTCTTTTCAAGAAAGAAGTATTTTATTTATAGCTACCTTCTCCTTCTAACTATCCAGCTTTTACATCTACTGTTTGAGGAAAATGTATTAAAGGCAAATAGATACTGAATTAAGTCTCCCTCACCACCTCCCACAAAAAGAACCCTAATAATTTTCCTATTTTAAAATAATTTATATGAGGTTTTTTTTTTTTTTTTGGAAAGAAAAGTAACTGCTATAAGCAAAAATTAATACCCTGTTATACCATTTGTCTTATGTTATGGGACACTTTACCAGTTCTGAAGAGATGTCAAGAGCCATAAGTCTTTGTTGAACTGGGTTGTAAACACAATAACCAGCAGAGACCAAGATCAGGATAGTTAATAAGGGCCAACTATGTAGTATTACTTTAATAGTGGAGAGGATAGATCATTATAGGCTGGGATACTCTGGAAAGGCTTTGCAGAGAAAATATAACTCAGTGTACACCAGAAAGGGTGGCTAATAGTTTATGCTTAATCAGCTAAGTTTCTTATGTGCCAGGCACTGTGCTAAGCTATAAATGGAGTCTCATACCCTTTAGCAATGCTACATAGATGCTATATATTTTTTTCTTTTTTAAAAGATTTTATTTATTTATTCATGAAATACACAGAGAGACAGGTAGACATAGGCAGAGGGAGAAGCAGGCTTCCCGCAGGACTAAATCCCTGGACCCCAGGATCACGACCTGAGCCAAAGGCAGACGCTCAGCCACTGAGCCACCCAGGTGTCCCTAGATGCTATATTTTATGGAAACTAAGGTACAGAGATTAAGTAACTTGGCCTAGGTCATATGGCCAGCAGGTAATCAAACCCACGCAATCTGATTCTAGAGCCTTCACTCTATACTATATTGCTTCCCTCAATTTTTTTTTTAATTTTTATTTATTTATGATAGTCACAGAGAGAGAGAGAGAGAGAGAGGCAGAGACACAGGCAGAGGGAGAAGCAGGCTCCATGCACCGGGAGCCCGACGTGGGATTCGATCCGGGGTCTCCAGGATCATGCCCTGGGCCAAAGGCAGGTGCCAAACCGCTGCGCCACCCAGGGATCCCTCCCCTCAAATTTTGATAGATGAAAGAGGAACACCTCTTAGTAAAGAAAGGGAAGTGGGAATACAGAAGACACTTTTGGGAAGAAGCAAGGAGACCATTCTAACTAAAGCAGAATATTTATGTGGAAAACTCATGAAAAATAAATTTGGAAAGAGAATTTGAGGCTAGTTTTTGCATAGTATTGAATGCCAGACCATGAGATTTGGGTTTGGAATCTTCAAATGAAGTTTCTAATTAGGAAGTAACAGGGGATCTACTCTAATAGGGTAGATTAAAGCCAAGGCCTATATATTTATAGATTCTTTAGGAGATTATTGTAGTAAGACTGATAAGTGGTGATAGGGATCTTCTGTAGTGTGAAAAGCAAGATTAGAAATTAAGGATTTAAAGTCATTTACATAAATCAAGTTTAATAAGGAACAAATATATATGACATTTAGTCCATGCATGTAAAAATTATGCTATAGGAGAGACACATAAAGGAACTGGGGATAGAAGAATAGACTTAGGAGAGTGATCATTATCCCTAAATATCTAAAAGGCTATCATTTGGAAGAAGCAGTAGGTTTATTTTGCATAGTTCTATGTAACTAGTACTTTTAGGTGAAAATCACCAGTTCAGTCTACCCAAATGTTGGAGTTATTTAAAACTAAATGGGATGCCTCAAAAGTTGGTGAGCTCCTTAGGACAAAAAGTGTTGAAAATTTTTGAAAAGAGAATCCCAACATTGTAGAAATTTGGACTAGCTGACTCAAGGTTATTTCTACTACAAATTTCTGTGATTTTTGTGACATTAATATTGTGAAGCTACATCATGCTTTGAGGTTGTAAGAATATAGGGTACTCTGCCATCAAGTCAGTTTCATGATTCCATTTCTTCTCCACATAAAAATGAAATTGCCACGCATAGTTAATCCAGTGGAGAGAGAGGAAGAAATTATTTTTGTTTTTATCTGGTTATCAGAATGATAAACTTCCCAGACTAAAAGAGAGAAAGTAGAACTTAGAGGCCAGTCGAGAGAGGTCAAGAGAAGAACAGAGCTTCAGTAACAACCTAAATGAAGAGCAAAGGGAGAAGAATAAATTTACGTATGGCATTGCTTGATGGTAAAACATTTATAGTTTTAGAATTGTTTAGATGTTCGTTCGTTCTTTTTCTTTCTTTTTCTTTCTTCTTTCTCTTTCTTTTCTTTCTCTCTTTCTCTTTCTTTCTCTCTTCTTCTTCTTCTTCTTCTTCTTCTTCTTTCTTTTCTCTTTCTTTCTTGATAGACACACACACACAGAGAGGCAGAGACACAGGAGGAGGGAGAAGCAGGCTCCATGCCAGGAGCCTGACGCAGGACTCGATCCCAGGACTCCAGGATCACGCCCTGGGCCAAAGGCAGGTGCCAAACCCCTGAGCCACCCAGGGATCCCCAGTTTTAGACTTGTTTAGTCAGAATTTTTGGATGTGGTCAGTATTTTATGGTTTTATAAGAATCAGAATATCTCCATTAACTACAGTATTTAGTTATGCCAGGAAAACTGTTAAGTATTTAAAATTCTGTCAAGTAGCGGGATACAATAATTAGGGCTGCTGATTTTGTTTGGGTAAGCATGTCTTCAGAGAATGGTTTTCATTTTAGGACTTGGCTATTTTGTCTATACTAGTGGCAGGAGATTATTTGTACCAGTGCTTTCCAGTCTTTTCAAATCCAGTTTGTCATTTTTTTCCTAATGACTTCCAAATTTTGAAAGCTTTGTACCGTGTTTCTTTACTATTTTACTGCCCCCCCACCCCATTTAATTGTCGTTAACTGGACAGAAAAACTATCAGAGTGTCTCTAGCAATATGTAAATTGCCTTTGAGGTATTCCATCCAAAGGCAGGCAAACTTTGTTTTGGCCTGGATAGCTTTAACAGAAGGGAATGTTCAGTTTCCACCTGGCATTTTTAGTGATACGGAAAATGGCTCACAAATAACTCTTTGGTCCTCCCACTTTTGCCTCAAAATCTATTGATTTTGAGACCTTCAAGAGACTGGAGATCTGTGGTTGGAAATAGTGGAGGGAGACGGAGTGAGGAGTATTCTGTAAGATTAATTGCCAACATTTTATCTATGACTTAATGAGGGATTTTCCCAAAGTTTTACAGGGACCGGGCAAGAAGGAAGAGAAGCTGAGGACCCATTCATTACATCATTAAAAGTGTACAGTCATGGATTATTATGTTGACTGTTAATCTTATTTACATTTTTATGGTTTATTCCAGGAAAGTACAGATAACATACTCTCCATTGTTAAACAAAGAACAGGAACCTTTGGGGATCGTCCTGCAAGACCTACTCTTTTAGAACAAGTGTTAAATCAAAAAAGACTGGTAAGTATCTGTAAAGTACTTACAAATTTATTAACAAAAGTTGTTAGAATTATTTAGATTTTGGGGATTTTAAAACTTGTTAAACTGGTCATCAGAATTGAATTGTTCCTCTGCTAGTACACACTGGAATCTCCTAATGCTTTCTCAAAACTATATGAGCAGAAACACCTTTACTCATATCTTCATTGACTAAACCTTGAATATTTGAGCAAGATGGAGTTTTAAAACAGACTTTGTTCTGAATTCTGTGGTTTATGGAATAATGCTTTAGTGGTATGGAAGTAGAATGAGACCAACATTTGATAAAGGTCTCTATTAGAAATTTGCTAGAAGGCATCAGAATTCAATCAGAAAAGGAGAGATTTTTCAATAAATATGGAAATAATTGGGTAGTAATTTAAAGATAAAAAAGAATTTAGCCATATCACTATACATCAAACTAAATTCCTGATAAAGATTTTAAAATAAAAAATAGAATTGAGACTTAATCTTAAAACTTTTTCTAGCTTGAAAGAAATAGACGAAATTATAAAGAAATGAATACTGTAGTCAAAAATGGTGGTGAAAATGCAAACTCCAAAATAGCATACAGGAAAAACATTTGCAACACATATAAGACACTATGGTTAATATGGTTGACATTTTTAGCTTACAAAAAATATTCATATAAATTGATAAAAAAAATTTTGGCTTCAATACATTGCAAAAAATATATACAGGAAAAAAAGAAATGCTATCATTAAATGATATAAAAAGGTATTCAATATCAGTAAAAATCACAATAAACAATATAACAAATGAAAATTATTTAAATGATCACAAACAGTGATGTTAGGGTCTTCATGAAATGGACACTCTGTTGATGGTATTGTACATTCATATCAGACTTCTAGAAAGCAGGTGTTATCAGGAGTCTCTAAAATGGTCATCCCTTTAGCTCAGCAGGAAATAAATCCTGTATAGGGATAAAGTTAAGCATAAAGATGATGCCAGAAATGTAATTATCACAAATAGAAATAGTTGAAACAACTAGCTGAGTAGACTATCACACTTTTACTTAATAGAATATTGGTACATCTTTACAAATAACTTTTTTATTGAAGTATAGGTGACTCTAAGTTTTAAACAAAACAAGTAACTAAAAAATGTACTGTGCTGTAATGTTAAATTTTAAAATCAGTGTTTAATGATAGTTTTTCCACCTTGCTCGGTTTATCTTTTTTAATTTTGGGGAACCAAATTTTCTTTTCCTCATCAATATATATAAGTATTTTATTATAGTAAAAGCATATTAATCATTATATTTGTTATATGACTATATTTAAAAATGGTAGGTGTACAAAACTATATTTTTAGATCATTCTGTCTTTTCTGAAATTTTTGTGATATGCTAATACTGCTTTTATTAATACCTGTATACCCACACACACACACACACACACACACACACACACACACACTCTCTTTAATTTCTTCAGAAAGACTTAATAGGCTAAGTCAGTGAAATTGAATCCTTAAATGGGTCTCCAAACTGTCATCTAACTGCCATTTTCACAAGTGGCCCCTTTTCATAACCTTGTTTTTCTTTGCTGTAATCCTGGGTCAGTGCTATTTTTGGCTGTTTGCTCTTATGCTTCATAGATATATATGCTGGCATCACATATAAAGCATTTCCTTTGTATACAGAGTCACTGATAAGATTAGGCTTTACCCATTACTCTTAGATTTTAGTATTTGATGTATGACATCAAATTTTATTATCATTAGCTTGCAGTTTAATACAGTGCATTGGGTGCAAGTGTGAGTTCATTTCAGGCACAATTTGTTTTATAAGCGTATTGTGCCTTGGTAGAGACACCTAGCAGAGTAATTTTATAGCATGAAGACAATCTAAGCCTGTAAGAATGATGTTAATAAGTATATTTCTCTTTCTTCTTTTCAAGTCCTTACTAAGAAGCCCAGAAGTGGTGCAATTTTTACAGAAACAGCAACAACTATTAAATCAGCAAGTTTTGGAGCAAAGACAGCAGCAGTTTCCAGGAACATCAGTGTGAAGGAATTTGTCAAGAAGATTCACATGTTTTTTATTTTGTATAGTAGATGGACATATTTTTATACTAAAGATAAATGGGATAAGATATTCTAGTAAAGCATAAACAGTCATTTTCCTATAAATGTATGTGTGCATTTGAGGATACATAAGTATTGCACTTTGTGCATCTAATCCTTTCATATTGCCATGAATCTGAAGAAACAGCCTATCTTTCCAAAGTAACATTTAATTACACTTGTTTTTATAAGCATAGTGTTTCACTTCAGTCATTGTTACTGAAGGTAATGAAGCAGTTACTTTCTGTGGAAGTCACAAAATTAGTACATATTAATCTTTGATCATTAGTTCAGTGGTTCTTATTAAGGGCAGTCAGAAAGGATGGATATGTTTTTGGTAGTCACAGTGACCTTGAAACTCCTAGTTTTTAGTGAATGGATCAGGAATCCTAAATGTCCTACCATGTCTGGAATGACCGTTCACAACTAATGATTATCTCACCCACAATGCCAGTAATCCTCCTCTTAAGAAACACTGATAGTGTGAAAATGAGTGGGAAATATCAGTGAGGGTGACAGAACATGAGACACTCCTAACTCTAGGAAATGAACAAGGGGTGGTAGAAAGGCAGGTGGGCGGGGGATGGGGTGACTGGGTGATGCGCACTGAGGGGGCACTTGACAGGATGAGCACTGGGTATTATGCTATATGTTGGCAAATTGAACTCCCAATAAAAAAATATACAAAAAAACCCCACTGATAGTTGTGATACTACTTGTGATAATAAAATGTAGTTGGGGTACCTAGAATTGGGTTCTTGAAATAACTTTTTCTTCACAGTTAAGACTGAAGCTGTCAAAGAGGTAAGTGTATTTTAAATATATAAGGAAAATGATCATTGTTAGTTATCTGTGAAATTAGGATGTGTATTTCTTTCCCAGAGATGTGCTGGTAAAACCTAGGAGAGGAGCTTAATAAGTACACTGGAATGAAAGCCTCTCTTCTAAAGTTGGCTTCTCGCTTCATGTTAACTACTTGTGTTACTCTTTTAAAGCAGACTTGTTGAATTTGTGAACAGGTATAGATGTATCTCATTCTACCAATGTCAAGACGAAAACCATTTTTTAAAACTCATTTCCTTTTCAAAATAAGAATAACACTCCCGCATTTTTTCAGGAGCTTTCAAAATTGAGCTAATTTAAGACCGTGTTATTCCTGAAGTAATGTTCAAAGAATGATGGGTCATCTGGATAGATACTTTTTTCTTGCATTGTCTCCTAGGAAAACTTTTAAAAGGCAAACCTATCAATAAGAGTCAAAAATCAAATGTCAAGAGAGTATTTCCGGGCAGCCTGGGTGGCTCAGCGGTTTAGCGCTGCCTTCAGCCCAGGGCATGATCCCATGTCGGGCTCCCTGCATGGAGCCTGCTTTTCCCTCTGTCTCTGTTGCTACCTCTCTGTTTCTTATGGGTAAATAAATAAAATCTTTTTTTAAAAAGCATTTCCAATGTTAGATAATTTATGTTTTTGGTTTTTTTTTAATTTTTATTTATTTATGATAGTCACAGAGAGAGAGAGAGAGAGGCAGAGACACAGGCAGAGGGAGAAGCAGGCTCCATGCACCGGGAGCCCGATGTGGGATTCGATCCCGGGTCTCCAGGATCGCGCCCTGGGCCAAAGGCAGGCGCCAAACCGCTGTGCCACCCAGGGATCCCTAATTTATGTTTTTTAAGTTTGTGCAAAAGTGTGTTGGTTTCTTAGGTTTAAAGCCCTAAAATGTATATTAAGTTAAACTTTATTTATTTATTTATTTACTTACTTACTTAAAGATTTTATTTATTCATCCATGAGAGACACACACACACACACACAGAGGCAGAGACACAGGCATAGGGAGAAGCAGGCCCCACAAAGGGAACCTGACGTGGGACTCGATCCCAGGGTCCAGGATCAGTCCCTGGACTGAAGGTGGGCACTAAACTGCTGAGCCACCTGGGCTGCCCTCTATTTTTTATGTGTGTTTTGTGTCTGTATATATGTGCAAAAACACAGATTTTACCAAAATTATTCATTAAAATCTAGTTGTAGACCTTTAAGTTGTCTGATTCACTTATTCTGTTCTTTAGTTTTTTTCATCCTGGGTGCAGAGGAATTCATTTACACTTGTTATTAACTATTCTCTTAGTTCTAGTGTTGGAGTTTAATTGAATCCCTATAGTGTAAGTTAACTTTTATAGTGGCAAAAAAAATAAGCTTATCCTTCAAATAGAATAGGAGGGTTAGGAAAGAAGGGACAGTAATAGGCCAGGGAATGCTGAATTAATACAAGAGCGATGGAATTTATGTGTACATAAATCTTTATCTCTGTATATGCTTACAGATCTTTAAAGCAGTACAGTTTTTACTTATTTTGGGTAGATTTATTGCAGTATGTCCCTAATTACTTACCCTTCCTATACTCCAGACTTTTGCAAAAATGACTTTGCCACTTCTCCCACCAAGAAGTTGACTTTATTCACCTACCGTTTAAATCTGAAGGACTGGCCTTGTGAGTTGGTTTAGCCAATAGAATGTGGAAGAAATAATACATGCCAGCTTTGAGTAGATTTCCAAAGATTTTGAACACTTCCACTTGATCTTTTAGAAACCTACTGAGCTGCCATGGTAAAGAGCCAGACATGTGAGTGAGGCTGTGCTAGACTAGCTGTTCCCCAACTAATCTGCCAACTGACAGTAGATGCATTTGATCTCAGCCCAGATCAACCAAATCTAGCCCAGATTTGCAGAACCACCCAGCTTCCCTGAGGACTTGTAAGCAATAATAAATATTTACGATTGTAAGCCACAGTGTTTGGGGGTCATTGGTTTTGCAGCATTCTTGAGAGTAGGTAACCGATATACCTAGCTATATAGTTCTTGCTGCTTTAACAATGGTGTAAAACAAAAATTTGTTACCTCCCATAGTTCTATATATAATTCTTAGAGTTTTAAATCTGTACAAATGCTTTCAAGCTAGGTGTGGTATAGACTGTACTTCCTAAAGATGGCTACCACTAGGTCTCCCACTCCACATGCTCTTATGTGATATGGCCCAATAAGAATCGGATTTTATTTTCTACCCCCTTGAATGTGGGCAGGCCCTGTGACCGTGTTAACAGAATATAGCAGAAGGAATGCTGTGCTAGTTCATTTGAGGCTAAAGGAAAGGAGATATTATAAATATAGATGTGGTATATTTGTAGCAATAAGAGCATAAAGGAATTCACAGCTCCCATTTTTCAACAAAGTCAGAAGTCAACTGCCAAGGTGAAGTGGGGGAGTTGGTAAGCTTTAGGAAAAAGGGGAAAATTAGGAATATACATTGAAGTCAATGAGAGAGATGGCTAATAACTAGTAGCCTGCTAATAATCCCGATACCTGTTTTTCCTTTCTTTCATACTAATAGAATTTTGTGTTGGGAATATAGCCAGCCACACAACAACGTAGCTGATTCTCACATAATACCATACCAAAGCATCCAGACACAAACGATGTGTGGATGATTCCATTTATGTAAAGTACAAATGCAGGTGGAGCTTACTGTTAGAATGCAGGCATGGTTAGCCTTAGGAGGGGTCAGGGCCCAGGAGGAGACCGGGACCAGGAGGAGGCATGAAGAGGCTTCTGGGGTTTCTAGTATTCTTCTTGTCCTAGATGCCAGGTATGCATGTGTATTCTGTTAATGAAAGTTCAGCAAGCTAAATATTTTATATATTTATATATCATATGTGTGTGATTTTTACATTTTCCAGTATATATTTTGTATGGCAACTTTTAAAGTGTTTTTTTTTTTTTCAAAAAAAAAAAAAAAAAGACTATTTGTTAGCTGTCCTTGAAATTCACTGAGACCACGTGAGTAAATTATGGCCAGTGAGGTAGAAGTAGAAGTGATATGTGTAACTTCTAGCTAGTGCCCTGTAAAAGTAAGCAGGCAGCCCACTTTCCTCTTCCCCCTATCTTGCTGTTTAGAGTGTGGACAAAGCAGCAGATCACCTGTAAGCCAAATGAGGATAATTCACTAGGAATAGGGAACAAGGTAGAAGGAGCCTATGTCCTTGGATGGCCTCGAGGAGCAGAGCTATCATCCTAGCCTGAAACCCCTTGTTTTTGGAGGACTACCTGAAAGAGAAATGGAATATCCTAGGTCTGCCATGATTATTATGTTTCCGTTATATTTAGCCAAACTATATCTTAAATAATACTGTAGGTAAAAGGATTACCGAATGGCATTAAAGATTTGGCATACTGGAAACCAGGAATCTGTAATGTCATTCTGCAGTTATGTGACGCTATTTCATAGGGCTCAACCAGCCATCATAGGAAAGATATAGTGCAGGCTTGATCTTGGATTCATTTAATGGAAGAAGAGCACAAGGAGTTTAGGATGCTTTTGAGAGAGTGCTTTCAGTAACAGAGTTCAGGCTGAGCAGAGAAGAAATGAGGCCAACAAGGAAGTGGTTCTCAGTGAAATTGCCAAGCCAAGTTTCAGAAGAATGAGAGAACACAAGATATTTAAGCTAGGAAACTAGCAGTATCCCTTACAATGGATTAGTAATGTTATTATATTCTATAACAATACATTTCAGTAAATCAAGCTCTTTGAAATCCTTGTAAGACTATTCCCAGGCTTCCACTTGAGCTTGATTTGGAGGGGTGGATAAACAAGCCTGTAGGATTTCATGACAGAAACATCATTCCAGGAGGGGTCACTTCAAGGAGAAACCCAGAGTGATCTATTTCAGCTCATCAACCAGCAGCTCTAGAGAATTACAAAAACTTGCTTAAAAGTAATAATAAAAGAAAAAAGAGAAAACTATAAAATAGATTTTTTTGCTTCAGAATAGTTCACCTAAACTACTGTGAAGAAAAACAACCAACCAGATGGCCTCAAAAGAACAGTCAAAGGCAATATTGGCCAAAAATTATGTGTATTTTAAGTAATTATAATTAATAAGACTTAATTATGAATAGACAAATGCAAAGGATTCTAACCAATCTTACCAAAAGTAATATATAAAGATATATTTGTACACAGAGAAGCTTGTATTCAAAACTGGGAGTTGCTTCCATAAAGGAAATTTGGGGCACTGGTGGTACGGAGTAGAAGAATGGAGATGGAGATTCAGTGGTTAGGAGACCAGCTTTTATCAAAATAATTCTTTGTGCTACTTAATTTAAATTTTTACCAGTGCATGGATGACTTTTCAAAAATGTTTTTATTGCAAACTGAAATCCTGTTACAAATTAAGAAGAATACGCTGTTTATGCTTTTTCCTTTGCTTTCTGAAGAAATGTTCTTAGTAATCTACATTTCCATATACTTAGCACTTATTTATAGTGCAGTTTCCCCCTGGAGTTACCTACCATCCGTTCAGAGGCCCAAATGTGAGCTTCCCTCCTGGAGGTGCATAAAGAAAGTAGATTATAATCTAAAGACAGCATGACAGAATGATACCATTTTCTAGCATTTTACACTTTTCAAAAACAATTCTGGCTACTAAGTCTTCACAACAATCCTGTAGCGTATGCACAAGGGTTATTTTGTAGATGCAGAAGCAAGCTTGCAGAGGTTGTCACTTGCTCAAGATTGCATAACTAGCTGGATTTAAATCCAGGACTTGTGACTCTGAGTTACTTACTGCACACTGTTGTAAGTAATGTGAGCTGTGCACATAATCACGGGGAGACCAGTGCAGTTTGAACCTGGACTTCAGATTTGACAATGGATGCGCTATCAAATAAATAAAGCTTTTGTATATTAATCCTTGAGTTTTGTAATGTGTTAGAAGACAAATATAACTTCCACCTGGTTAAATATAGATATATTTTAAGGATTTATTTATTCATAAGAGACAGAGAAGCAGAGACAGAGAGGGAGAAGCAGGCTCCCAGCAGGGAGCCCGGTGGAGGACTCAATCCTGGGACCTTGGGATCATGACCTGAGCCAAAGGCAGATGCTAAACCACTGAGCCACCCAGGCGTCCCTTCATCCCAATTATATTACTTTATTTATTTTTTTAAAAAATATTTTATTTATTTATTCATAAGAGACAGAGAGATACAGAGAGAGAGGCAGAGACACAGGCAGAGGGAGAAGCAGGCTCCACGCAGGGAGCCCAACGTGGGACTCCCAGGTCTCCAGGATCACACCAGGCGGTGCTAAACCGCTGGGCCACCAGGGCTGCCCCCAATTATATTACTTTAGAAAGTACTTCATGTGTTGATTCATTTGAACCTCAAAACATGGCAAGTCTCGTCCCTGTTTTTGGATGAGGAAAGAAATTCAGAGAAGTTAAGTGACTTATAAAACAGGTCTGTTGGTTGCAGAGCCAAGACTGGAACTTAAATCTTGTCTCCAAAAGTGATGCTCTGCCCACAATAGAATGTTGTTGCTAAAGTAGGAGCTAACACTTCTAAGTGCCTAGTTTCAAACACGGAAGGCACTTCAATATACGCTAAATGTTTTCAAGTTTCTGTATGCACACACATACATAATTTTATACAAGTACATGAATCATATTGCATATACTGAGGATTTCTGGATTAGGCTCTCCCTTTTGTTTCATTTTTTGGTTCCCCACCCTTATCCTTCCTTGTATTGTCCAACTTCAGATAACCTACGTCCACAACCTAGCATGTATTCTTCCTTTTCTATATTTTGTAACACACATAGGTACGCATATAGCAACTGTTGGTTACATAAAAATGTGAGCATATTATACACATCAGCATATTACTTTTTTATATCCCAGTACTGTGTAGATAGAAGTCCTCCTGAGTCTCTGCTAGAGCTCTAATTCATTCCTTTACATGGCTTCAGAGCATCTCATGATGAGAATGTGTCATCACGTTCAATCATTCTATTGTCAATGGCATTCACTTGTCTAGTTTTCTGCCACTATGAATAATGCCACCTCCCTGTAATGTATCCTTATGTACTGGTAGTTGGATAGCCTTGGAATAGATTCTCATAATTGGGATTGTTGGGTGGAGAGAATATATA